CTCTCTCTCTCTCTCTCTCTCTCGTAACCGGTACTGACCTGCAAAAGGTGGCACCTTGATGCAGGTACGGACGTGCTGAAGACGAAGCTGGAGCGATGGCCACGCAGGTAAGTCTCAGGTAAGTCCCCTGGGCTCCATCACCATCTCTCCCTCCCTGCGCTACTCTACTCTATCAGCGCCCAGCGCTGGAAGACTAGTCCTATCGTCCACTACTACTGTATTGCCGTCGCCCGAAGTATGTCTCCACTCGATCCTCTACTGAATCCCCTGACTGAGTCGGACCCAGCTATATATAGCGCTGGGTCGGCCTCAGCTGCTGAGTCCTGGCGTGCAAACTGAGGCTCGGCCTCAACCGCCCAAGTGCCTGCTGAAACGGCACAGCCTCTGGGTCAGGGTCTGAATCCGAAACGAGGCCTACAGGGCCTCTAACTGGTATTGGTTGGCGTAACCTAACCGACAGACCTACCCTACCTGGTTGGGCCCTGCTGGGCCCGTGTGGAGCTGAGTATACCACACATGCACTAGCTATATCCTCCAAATCCAGAGTGAGCAAAGGCTTGGTAGGAATTTGCCACACGCACGCCCAAGGAAGCCAACATGAGTCATTGGACAAGTTGCTTCACTGCACATCATTTTTGAATGTATATCGCCCTATACTGGTCCTGATGCATTCATAATGTTAGGCTACTATGGTCCTATGTACTTGAGCCACTGTGGTGCTATGTACGTGGGCCACAGCGGTGCTATGCAGAGAAGCCAACAGGAGTCATTGGACCTTGCTTCACAACATCCGAAATGTCCCACCTTATACTGGTCCAGATGCATTCGAAATAATGGGCCACTAAGGTGCTATGTACCTGAGCCGCTATGGTGCTATGTACCTGGGCCACTACGGCGCTATGTACTTGGGCCACTATAGTGCTATGTACTTGGGCCACTATGGTGCCAGCCCCTATGGTGCCATGTACTTGAGCCACTATGGTGCTATATACTGGGAGTGGTGCTGCGTTCTTGGGGGGCTACGGTGCTATTTTCTTGGGGCTACCATGCAGCTATGCACTTGAGGCTGGTATGGTGCTATGTACCTTGGTGCTGATATGGTGCTATGTAACTGGGAGGCAAGCATGGCAACCGTCCGGAAGTCCGGACCGGGTTCCAGACAGTCCGGTGTCCGGTGTCCGGTCCTTGTGTCCGGATGAAGGCCCATGGGGCAAAAAAAAAAAAAAAAACGGGGCGGCCCAGGACGTTTATCGGGTCCTGGCGGCCCCTCGAAAAATAATGGGGTGATTTTTCAGTGTTGTTTCACCCCACCGGACAGGGCCTAGAGGTCCGGACACAAGACACTGCAGGTTTTGGCGGTGGCGGGTTTCGCACAGACCCGAGCAATTTCAAAGCAGCCGTTTCGACGTGGCGCCCGCCGCTGCTGCCCATTGTGGGGGGGAGAGAGAGAGAGAGAGAGAGAGAGAGAGAGAGAGAGAGAGAGAGAGAGAGAGCACTGACAGTGCTGCCAGTCTGAAGACTCTGACGTTCTGAATTGAACTGCAAAGTTCGAACTATATGAAGCATAATTGCGGCGCACCAGTGCGCAGTGCGGGGCGGGGCGGGGCGCACTGCGCTGTGCGCTGGAATGACAGCGCGCGCACTGTGCGCCGTGCGCAGTGCGGTGCGCGCGCTGAGGGAGG